AGGCGTTATAGACTTAGAATCTATGATCTTTGCTTTACTTCCTGTTCCTTGTTTGGTTGTGGATTTAGAAGAATCTTGTTTGGTTATTCGAAGGTCTATTTTGTTTCGGTCGCGTGTAATTTGTATGAACTATGCAAGTATTGGTCTAACTAATAACGATCCTCTTATAAGCATCTTAGATTAGTACGTCTAATTAGCTATTCTTTCCCTTTTCTCACATAGATATCATGGCCGGATTTCACCATGGTGACCCGCACTTCCCAAATCACGGCAATGCGGGATAGCGTGAAGAAGAGCCTGATGAAGAACATCAAATCCCTTTAGATGACCATAAAGCAGAAGGCTTATCGGATGGGTCTGACTCCGAACCCGAAGTCAACAACCTACCCCCTGTGGCACTGATCCCAAACCCTAACCCCTGCCAGGCCTTCCAAGGCCCGACGCCTGCATGGGTGGAATGCATAGAGATGTTAAGTGAAGAGAAAAATCAACCCATGGAATTCAATGGTGACCGAAGCTTTTATGACACAAGAGAAGGAGGTTCGGCAGACAGAGTCTTGCCCATCCTGGTCAGAAAAGTTGCCCGCAATGAAATTCAAGGTAGGACAGCCCTCCAGTGTATCGTAGAGGTTGATACACATGGAGGACTGCACTCCCTTCGCACCAGCCGCCTGGAGCATGCTAGGGAGAGGTCCACAGCAGATCACGAGGCTTTGCTTCATGCATTAGCTGAGACTCGGGCTGAAGTCATAGAGCTTGGGGTTCGCCAGAGGCTCTATGAGCGACACCTCCTCGACATGGAACGTCAACTGGCCGACCATAGGGTTCGCCCGAGAAACATCCTCCGCCGCCGTTAAAAGATGACTAGCGCATCTTTTCTTTTGGCTTAGAAATAGCCTTTAGCATCTGCGCTTGAATGAAACACTTGTCTATATAATATTCCCATCTTTCAGTATGCTATGTAGTCTTCTAAACTATCAATCATTTTCCCCTCATATGGTTTGATTTAAGGTCTACTGTTAGGACATATTTCCAGAACATATTTGCATCAGTAATACCAGTAGCATTGATAGTTATCTAACCTATTTGGAAAAGTCTATACTCTTATGTCTCCCCACTCAGTATATGACTCTGTCTTACAACTTGTCTGTGGTGATTTAATTCACGAAACACTCTCATCATACTCACAATTGTTTCTCACTATTGTCATCATCCTTATGCATTTTCCAGTAGAAGATGCCGCCTCGCAAGCGTCCGATCAGAGGCACGCCTGCGAACCAAACTTCACCTCCTCCTCCACTACAGTTCGATCCGGTGATGTTTCAGGCAACTGTAACTGCAACTATGGGCCAAATAAATTATGGCGATGCAAGTGGAGCCGGAATGGGCACCACCTCTAGACATGGTGAAATCCCCTCTCGTACACAGGGGTGTATCTATAAGGATTTCATGAGCTGGAAACCCACATTCTTCAATGGAACTGGAGGGATTATTGCACTGTCCCAATGGATCGAAAGAACCGAAGCCGTCTTCGAGATGTGCTCGTGCCCCGTCGAAAGCAAGATTAAGTTCGCTACTTTCACCTTCACCAAAAGGGCCTTGACATGGTGGAATGGCCATGTCAAATCACTTTCCTTGGTAACAGCCAATGCCATGGGATGGGACATGCTAAAGGACCTTCTGACAAGGGAGTACTGTCCTAGGGGAGAAATCCAGAAACTCGAGGAGGAACTCTGGAACCTCAGGATGAAACGGACCGATGTGGTGGCTTATACGGCCAGGTTCTGTGACCTGGTAACTATGTGTCGTAACATGATCCCCACTGAGGGCAAGAAGATTGAGCGATACATCTGGGGTTTAGTGCCTCCGTATCGAGGGAACGTTTTAGCATCACACCCTACGATGTTTGACAGCGCCAAGGAATTGTCCCAAAGGTTGATTGACATGAAGCTCCTTCCACTCCATAAACGACAACAACGATTTCTACTACACCCATCAAGACATCTGACAACAAGAGGAAACGGTGGGACCAGAAGAAGGGAAAATCGACCCAATCCTCTTCAAAGAACCAACAAGTGGTAGCTGTCCATGCTGCCACTACTCCTGCTGCCCCTGTGCCAACCAAAACATATGCATGGAACCTGCCAAGTGCACCAAGTGCCCTTTTCATCATAACTATCCCTGCCCTGAATTGCATTGCACTAACTGCGATCAGCAGGGCCATACCGTCCGGTTTTGCAAGTCTCAACCCAAACCCATTTCTCAGGTCCCCAGCACGGGAGCAACCCATGCCTGCTATGGCAGTTACGAAGTAGGGCATTTCAAAAGAAACTTTCCGAAAACTGGGAATACTAGGGGAACAGGAAGACTACTTGCTATTGGCCACAATGAAGCAGTAGCAGACCCCATAGTAGTCACAGGTATGTTCCTTCTTGATAACTCTTATGCTTGTATCCTATTCGATAATGGGGCAGAAAGAACTTCGTAAATCAAAACTTTAAACACTTACTTAAACAATCCCCGCAACCATTGAAAGAAACCATCGTCATAGAAATGGCTAACAGAAAGACGGAGAGTTCTAGCGAGATCTACATGGGTTGCACTCTCACGCTAGATAATCACTCATTCCCAATCGACCTGATACCAGTATCGATCAAAAGTTTTGATGTCATCATAGGCATGGACTGATTGAGTCTCAATCATTCCGATATCCAGTGTTTCGACAAAGCCATCTGTCTAAATCTACCAAATAACGAAACCTTGACGATCTACGGAGACATGCCCAGTACGAGCCTTCGTATCATCTCAAGTATTCAAGCCCAGAAATACCTGCGTAAAGAAATCATGCGTTCCTTGCACACGTCGTTGATATGAACAAGAAAGCAAAAGATCTAAAAGACTTCCCCGTAGTATGCGACTTCCGTGACGTCTTTCCAGAAGAGCTAGTAGGTCTACCTCACCAACGTCA